GTAAGTCGCACGTACCTACTAATTTTCTTACGGATAAGGCGGAGATAACGAAGATATGGAAAATTGAATTGCATTTTTCATATTTTCTAATAAGACGTGAGTATATGTTGCATTCAAGCATCTGTAGACGTTTAAATCCCTTACAATAAAATAATTTTTGTCCCCTTGTCTTCCAACACCCCTACTTTCTACAGCTCCCTTGAATCTTCTACCTGTCTCAAGGGGGGTGCAGCGCTCACTTTGAGGATTAATGGTCTAAATTGTTTAAAGTATAAGTTCAAATACTGTATACAGAATACAAGATCAATTTTCGTATAGAAAGAATTAATTTAGTATAGTTTACTTATAAGAAAACACAAGAAACAATTAGGCCTATATACGGTAGCGTAGTGTAATCTCTATTGTAATGTGAGCTACCTTTCTACAGTAAAGGGCCATAAGACACAGCAGTGGAGCATTATCCTATGGTCAAAAAAGGATAATTGTCTGGTGTTTTCATCAACAAGGGGCCCCAAACCAATCTTTTATAAGAAAGTATTTTCCCTAAAATTAGTAGTTTGCCCACGTTACCGAGTCTTTTACGAATTATTGTAAAGGAAACGAATAACTAAACTTCAAATTTATCTCTTCCAAAATCACGACGTTCGTTCACTGGACACATGAACTTAAGGATACTGTAAATTATTTATGATGTAAATATATTTAAAGATATTAATAGTGTGTGGGCCGTAGAGAAAATGTTACAATGGCGGCAGTTTGCCCATAGATTGGCTTCCACGTGGCACCAATATATAAGAAATTGATTTACAATGAGATAGAACATCGTAAATGAATGGTAGAAAATTAAAATTAATTTAGATTCATTAGATTAATTAATCAGAATGGAATCTAAATCTCTCGTAGTAACAGAAGGTCTTTTAATTCCTTTACAGAATAGAAAATCTAGTAGGAACAATAAGAAATATACAGTAGTAATAATACCTTATAAGGAACTTTTACTAGTATATAACTAATGTACAGTGTTTTATTTCGTTGTTCTTTAATTATTTCTTAATAATTTCAACGAGAAAAACCATATATAGCCATTTATTTATGAAATCTGTAAGACTATCTTCATTGGAATTGTACAGTACCTAGTGTATTATGATTTTTGTAGAATGAATTAGTATAATGAATCATTAACGATTTAATAAATAAAATATAAATGAAAGAAACAAATTTCCTTTCTTACATATCTAATTTTATAATAAGATATTTGATCAAATTTTTTTTTTTAAACTATTAAAAAATGGTCGATATAAAAGCCGCATATTAAACAACACGCGATAAAATGATAAAACACTTAAACGCGGGCGTACTTCAAAAGATAATTTTTCATAAATAGTTATATAAATCATTTCCTCTTATATATGAAAATAAAAATCAGGCTTGGCTCTTGATTTCGTCAAGAGGCACTTTTAGACATCTGTCAAACTAAGTTATTAGAAGACGAAGACGATCAATCGTCCAGTAACCGCCATGATGGATAGACGGGCGATCGAGAAGAAAATTACAATAAAGAAAAAAATACACTTAGAATTTTCAATACTTCGTTATATTTTTCTCTTATTTTATAAGCAATATTTCTCTATTTTCTACGATGAAATCGTTTGAAAATAAGAGGAATGAATGAGTTATGGGAAATTACAACAGGAAAAAAATCAAAATAAATTCCTTTCTTTTTTTTTCTTTTTTTTTTTAATCGAGGCCATTTCGTAACATCATTATAAAAAAAAAATGTCTATATTTAAAAAAGGTGGGCGGAGAAGCGGAGTAGTTGTCATCGGAGGGTTGTCTAAACTGTCCATAGTGACACGCCAACTTTTGTTATTGTAGCTTCGAGCTATGCGGGTGAACATCATACTTTTGTCAACTCCCAGCTTTTACAATGCTCGTTCTGTGTTTTGTTTTTGAAAAGTGTCTTCTATTTAAAAAAAAGAGAGAGAGAGAGAGAGAGAGAGAAGCATTTATGAAGACCGGTCTTGTTACTTCGAATTGACAAGCTTCAAAAACATGTGTTACACTCTGTTACGTTGAAGTACTTCGCTTAAGTTGTCATTTTTTAACGGAAACATTAGACATTAGTTAAGGTGCTTTTTTATTATTATTATTATTATTATTCATTCCGACACGTTTATGCATTAGGTGTGGCTTTATTAAACGCTATAAAAGGGGGATAAAACTAATTTTTACGATCGAATTACAGAAAATCCGTATTACGCCAATAGAATTTGAGTAACGTGACGTAACAACTGTGACTTACTGTGGATCGATTTAAAGATTATGTAATGAAAAAATAAATAAATAAAAATGTAACCTTTCGACGGATGTTAAAATAAGGCCATACAAATACTGGAGCGACAAAACTTCGTTGGTGAGAAAAAAAAAATAAAAAAAAAACACTGGAAAATGTTTTTCCGTCCCATTAAAAAACTGTTGAATTTTTTCAACCCGATCCATTCGTAATGACGTCAAAAAATTAATGATTACAAGATGCGAAAAGTGTTACTTATCGCCATCTATGAGTTGGAGAGATAAACAGTATAGTAGCCTCGGTTCGAATCTAACGCTAGTCGTTAATTTAGCGCTAGTGGTAATCGAAACGGGAATGGTTACGATACGAAATCGATTTGATAAAGTTAAAAATGAAGACATTTTAAGCAGCCGGGAAAATCGGTCACTAACGACATTTTCCACCCACTCTAATGCCAGCTAACGAAGTGTGAAATGGCAGATGTCCGCTTATCAGCGAAGGAAAAAAAAAAACGATGAGAAACGAGGGGAGGAAGAAATTTATAGAAATCTCAACTCCTAATTTGGTCGACCATTGTTGAGGTTTCGTAGGTAGATAGTAATGAACGCCGACACGAATTTCCGACATTAAAGCCTTCGTGACTTAACACAATTACGCTTTCGGCCCGATTACACGCTCCGGGGTATACTTGGTTACGCGTGACGTCACGTAAACCCGGGTGTGGTTAATCGGGAAGGATGCGGTTTTTTTAGCCCAGGGAACTATAAGTTTTTTTTTTTTGTTTTTTAATTTATTTGGCACCCTCATCTTTGGCACACGATGTTAAGAGGTACTCCCTCATCTTCCTTACTATTATCTAAGCAGTGGTGTTCAAACTTTTAGATTGGCGGGCCAAATTGCACGTAAATCGTGGCACATATATATTTTGTATATTTCATATATACCGAAAGTAGGTCTTATTTTTATAATTTATAAGTAATCAATGTAAAGGTAGGATTAACGTGTGCTGCGAGCCGAATTTGGACTGGGGGAGGACCATAATTTTACCACTATTGATTTAAAGAACTCGAGACTTTCCAGGTTTTCAGGTTAGTTTAGAGGAAGCGGAGCATCTCAACAAATCTATGATACAAGACCATGTACAGAGAGTCAATTTAGTTGAAGAACCGTAGCGCTTTGCAACGCTTTGGATTTCTATTTGCATCTTAAACACACATTCCTTAGCTTTTCTGGTACATAAGTATAAAAAATAATCAATTAATTTTCTTTTATTGGAGCATAAAGAAATCAAAAATGGCACCCGGAATCCCGAACTCTTCCGATTTTACCACAGTGATATCGGAGTACCAAACGTAACTCCGTTACGTACGACTCGAACGTGTCAACAAAATTAAAAATTTTAATGAAGTTTAGAGGAATAAGAAGCCGGTTTACGTGATTAATTTAATAGCAGAACTTGTTTTTTTTGAAATTCATTACAATCCGATTAAAATCTTTGGCCTCTAGCAACAAATTTTTTATTAACATTTTTCTTAAAACAAAGAAAGAAAATGAACCATAAATAAAAGTTTAATTTATTCGAAAATCATCTTAGTCCATCCCCCGAGTTGTTCCGGACGTTCCTCTATGGTCCGGAACGGAGAACTCTTCGACCATCTGCTACCAAGGTGGTTATCCTCGGTGTGACGTCACTCACCAGGATCCAATTTAAATAGCCAAATGGAGGTCATCGTAACAGTCTGTGTGCCAACTGTTCGTAACATTTAGGTAACGACTTGTTTACAAAAATCATTCATTATAAAACGGTTAAGGACTCCCTCTGCCAGATCAACTTATTAAGGAACAAATTTATGGTCCTTGATTTTTTTTTCCTCTCTCTCTCTCTCTAGTAATTTTTTTTTTATCCTTCTGTTAAATATAAATCTGTTAGAATTTCTTTTCGTACATGAAAATAGATCATATCTTAAGTGGTTGCATTAATCAAGAGACTAACAAATATTCTCGAAAATAACTGTTAACGTCACATAATTCCTTTTTTTTTTTTTAACACAAAATAAGATAAATTATCGGAAAAAACACGATTTTCTCTTTGTAAAAAAAGGAAATTAACTCGAAAAATTCGTCATACCTGCAAGAACCAAAAACAACTAGAGAGATAGAAATATACAATTGAATTGGCAGTTAGCCACGATGACATAAAACAGATTTTTCTGGTCCATTTGTACAATCGGTGTTACTTTTTTTTTTTTTTTGTGCATTGCCCACCTTATCGTTTATCAAGGCCGGTCACATGGAGAAAGTTGCGAGACAACATCTTTCAACCCATTAAAAAGAAAAAAAAAAAAAAAAGAAGAAGAAGAAGAAGCAAAATAGTATACGCCCAATCGAGTTTCTCTATTGGAATCACTCTTCACTCTGGCTACTTTGCTTTATTTTTAAAAGGTTTCGTCTCACCCATCATATCGTTGATGCGGCAATTATAAAGAAGGCCGAGTAGAATAACACGAGACACGCGTTTAGAGGAAGGTGTATACGTTAAGAGTCTTTCGTCGGAACGTCTACTCACTTCTTTAAATAATAGTTTTTTGGAAGAGCGAATTAGAAACGTTAGGGGAATAAATGGCGCTTTAAGTAGTAATCATGGTCGTCAAGAATCGTCCGCCAGGCGACGCTTCTCGACCAAAAGTTAACCACTTGCTCAGCCAGTTTCGTCTTCAACCATTCCGTAAGCGTTCAAACCGTCGGCTCCAACCTGTCCGGTTCGCGGACCTCGACCGCCGGATAAACGAACGGAAACACACACAAGACAACGAACACGTAAGGAGGAGAATGGATAAGACGAGTTGACATACAACACCGGCTTGAAAACGGACCATGGCTAGATTGTGAGTAGTTAACAATTATCGTAACTAATGACGGGGGTCGAAGGTTGCGCCTTTAGATTAAGAGTTACTTAATTCTCTTTCGAAATCACCCTTTAATTAAATTTGATGACGATGTCGAGTCCGTTACCCACGGCGGGGTCGTTGTTCTCTAATTATATAATTTTCGAATAAATTGTTGCACTTGCTTTCATTACTTACTCTTTTCTATTTTTTTTTTTTTTACTCACTTAATTTTCCTACCTTACTGTGTTCTGAATAGAAAAATATGCGCTGGATTCATTACTTCTCTTGTAGATTTTATATAAATTATTAAAGAATCAGCAATTATTTTTGTTAATATTAAACGGAGAATTTGCATTATTTTATTTAACAGTAGGAGGAAGAGAATTGACGGAAACTGTTAAGTAATATAATTACTTAGAGTGCTTTAGTTACATTACGAAAATGTTTAGCAAGTTACACGAATTAAATTAAAATTATATACGATAGAGGAAGGTTTTAATTGTGTTTAAAACCATTAAGAAATTTTAAAAAATTACAATATTAAAAAGTAAAATCATTAATTTCAATGATAAAAACATTAATAAAAACGCATCGAAAGAACGAAATATCAAAAACTATGTAGTAATTTTCATATAGAACAATAGTAAAAATTTGAAAAAATAGTAAAAAAATTCTTATATAAATTAAATAAAATTCGATATGTTAAAATCTGTCATCGGGTCTTAAATTAAGATTATAATTAAAGAAAAAAAAAGTTAAACTCGACTATTGCCGGTGCTCGAGTTAACTTAATTGAAGATCATAGCCGTGTTAGAGTTTATTAACATAATTACGTAACTATAGGACATGCCTTCAACTGAAAGATGGATGAGGAATATGCTGACACATCTTACGCGAATATATATTTAAAAAAATATATAATAATAATAATAAAGAAAAAAAAAATTTGCTTCGTAACTGTCGCGACTGCGATGGTCTTACGCAAAAGACTGCGATGGTCTTCACGAATCTATACGATTTAAAATGGAAAAAGTTTATAAATAAAGCGAGTATGAAAAACTAGTTCTGTCGAGTGTCAAGTTGTCACCGAGCATCAATTTAAGTCCCGCGACTAACGCGTTAACGAAGAGCCACCGAAATAGTGGACCCTTTTTTATTCCTTGGTTTTGCAGACTTTAGAGAGGGAACACTATGTCAAAATGACGTAACTGGGGAAAGTATGAAGCCGACTGTTAAGCTAAATTGAGATTTATATATATAAATACGAACGAGGAGATAAACGTTAGACAAATGGTGTCGTGGGACGTGACTACTAAGAGTACTTTTACTAAAAAAATCGACGAAATCATTGGTTAATTGATACTGATGATTTTCCCCTCTACTGTATAATAACCGGGTGGAGGGATAAGCAATTTACTTAGTGACGTTATTAAACGTTAAGCAACGTATTTAACTAGTGAAAATCTAAAAAATTGTTATTAAATTAAGACTTAAATACATTATACAACAATTAAAAATCGTATGATATAAAGTTTTCTCGTTATTAAACTTTTCTTATCGAACTGAAGAAAACACTAAATGTGCCTAAAGAAGATACCAAACTATTTTAAGCTCCGAACCCCCGAAAATGCGGATTTGCCAGTAGAATAACTAACGAATGGAATGTCGAAACGGGTGACGTATTTACGTACCTGTACATTTGCATATTTCATTCGTTGCTGATGTATTTCTTTAATAGAAGAAATGGGTGGACCGCATCGAAACGAGATGCTTCTCGAGTGGATAGAAAGCAAGAAACAACTTTTTGGATTTAGAAACAAACCAGTTGCTAAAAAGACTCTCTTGTACGAAAAAGAGTACAGGAAATACTCGAGACACACACAACATTTAAAAACGTTCTACAATTTATGAATAGAAATATTATTTATAAAGTTGATATTAAAGTAATTAGGATATAGTTATTAAACGGTCGGTTGTATATCAAAACACACTTTGTTAACTAATGGTTTTAGACACGTGTTAGTTCTTTTATAAGTCTGTTACCGACATTCTATATCGTTCGTTCGAATTACTACAATGTAAATTGTCAAATGGAATAAATTTGCATTTATCTTTATAAATACAGTTACTATTTTCTCCTTATTGTAAGAGTATAGAAGCTTATTTTTTATATGGATTTAAAAAAAAATCTTTACGTGTTACCATTGTTTCTAATTAGAAATCTGTGCTATAAGATTGAACTAAATAAATTTTTATTCAAATTTAATTTATTTCTAATGCTTAAAATTCAAATTTATAATACTTAAACTTCAATTTTTCTAATTTTTTTTAAACTTTAAAGTGGTTTCTAATATTCCAACTAACGAATAAATGAAGCTTTAGCTAATTCAAATAGGAGATTTTGTATTTAAAAAGAACACTATAACTTTGCGAGATAATACGTAAATTCACTCGCTCTTCCTGATTAAAACTATTAATTTATTAAGCTACACTACACTAGGAAGAGCTGACTCAAATTAGTTCCGCTAAAGGTTAATAATGTTCTAAGCACTAATTACTTATCTTATAATCGCATTAATATAGAATTTTACATAATTTTTCAAATCTATTTATAAAAATAGCATTGTTTAAATGCTATTTTTATTAATAAAAATAGCATTGTTTAAATGCTATTTTTATTAATAAAAATAGCATTGTTTAAATGCTATTTTTATTAATACAAATAGCGGATTTAAGTGTCTTTAATAAGAAAATAAATTAACAAGAGTATTATAAGAAGAATCTCTATACAAATGAAAATGGAAGATTGCTTGAAGCTGAGAATGAAGAAAAATACAAAAAAATAATTAATTTTAAAACTTAAAAAGTAATTAAATATTTACTTAATAATAATTATAATCTTATAATTATTAAAATTAAATTAATAATCGTATATTTATACTAATAAATAAATATCGAAAATAGTAATAGCAATAAAATCGAAGTTGTAAAATTTACACATGGAATAACTTAAAATTCATATTCTGTATATGGTAACATTGAAAATTAATTGCATCTACAATATCTTCTGACTCAATTTTATGATAACTTAACCCGCGTTGGTCGTGATTAATGTGTTATTTCTAAAACTTTCCTATATATCTTTATAGAAAAAGATCAGATTTGTCTTAAGGTTTTTGCCATGTCGTAGGTGTGTGTGTCGTGCCAAAATTATAAACAAGTAATCTGAAAGCTGGTATGGATTGATATTTTATAATAAAGAATCTCTGTAAAGAAATTCAAAGGATGAATATCTACCAATAGCGCAATGATCTCTGGCACACCTTTAAATTATTGTTAGTCTTCGAAGTTTCCATATTTAGTTAGAATAAATGTCTGTTTTTTGAATGCCTTAATATATTCGAGATCTCTTTTTCCATATTTATAACCGAACGGTAGTAGCAAAATTAGTAGCAATAAATTAGTATCCGACACGGAACATACCCATTTCGATTATATCCGTATTTACTATTCCTCCATTCGTCAGTAGGGGATATCGGGTACTAGATCTTGTTCTATTGAATAGATCTCGAATGATCTCTGACACCAAACCCACCGTAAATAAATAAATAAAATACCTTTATTTTTACTGCCCGCAGTTCTTCTTCGGTAGGAGGTATCATCATTAGTAGGGCAACTACAGTACTTGAGGTAAACCCCCTGGGATTTTTTTCGCTCCCGGATCGACAGGGGTCTGTCTCCCTGATCTTGGGGTGTGCCAGCCGTTCTTTGCCAATTCGTTGGTGTTTTTAATTTCCTTTCGTTCGATGGGAATTTTAAAATATTTTTTGACGTGATAGCTGTGTTAGACAGACCGAAAACAAGTATTATTAAAAGTCTGGTTATATTAATACATTGTTAATTTACACCGCGGTTCCTTTAATCAATTCTGTGTCGTAAACGATCTCGAATTAATTATTCGAAAGGCCTGATAAATGGTATTTTATATATGAACTTTGGCATAGAACCTTTGAGTATGATCAATCCAACACAGATAGTTCGGTTAAATGAGATCCTACAACGTTTATTAATTTAAAAAACGTTGTAGGATCTCACGTTCTATCTACTAATACCAAGATTTAATGGTATAAACGTCTTAACTTTAATAATAATTTTTCATATTGCAATGGAGAAATTCCGAAAACACTATAACAATAAAAATATATGTAGTGATCTGAAGACGATAATAAATTCAAAATGATATGTTATATAAAATATTGTATTCTTTTTTAATTAAATATTAATTAAATTTAATGAATTACATATTCGATAATCATCAGATGATACAGGTTTTTGGTAAAATATTCTCTGATAAATATTGAATTATTACTCTATATGACATTTATCTTCTTTGAAATCTCATAATTTTAAACCCACAACAGCTTATTATAGATAACCAGATTACTTTTATTAGACAGGTGTAATAACAAGCTATATATATATATATATATTTTTTTTTTTATATTAAAAACACCTACAGATTGTTACCCACGAAATACATGATAAGTGAGTAAATACGAAATTTGGTAGAGAGTTACTAAAGAATAAGGCACAATAGATTATTAGACTGAAGTTTTCGTACTTGCAGTATGTAGATTTTGATGTTTTTTCATTATTTATGCCCGTAAAATGTTAATTTTTAATGCCATTTTGTTTGATTTTTGATGATTTTATCATATTTTCACATCGCAAATTAACAATAGAAGATTACAAAAACAGATCCCATTAAAAGTTTTAAATTTTATTATAATTATTACAAAATTACATTAATTTCTTTTAACATATCCTACAGTATACTACAGTATGAAGTGGAAGCATAAGTCTTATATATAGTACACCAGTCGACCCCCCTATAATACTTTTGATTTTTCCGTTTTATATGAATTCCATGTTGTACGAGTCACTTAGATTTTACAAATACGTGTACCGGGCTGTGAACGGCTCACGTATTTGTAAAACCTAAGTGACTCGTACAACATGGAATTCATATAAAACGGAATAATCAACAGTGTTATAGGGGG